ATAATGATAAGGGAAAGGTTTCTATGCTTTCCCTACGGCCTAGAAGTTCTATCCTCCCCTTTCCATCCAACGGTCCAATTTTGATCAAGAGAGCCACTCACCGTTTAATCTTAGATCCGACATCTCAAAGTATTTTATTTTTAGTTTTTTTATACAAATTGTATGAATATGAAATTTGGTTCGTATCATCTTCTCATCGGGGCGCACATTTTTGATAAAATATAATGACCAAAATACTTCTTGAAATTTTCAGTGGTATTTTGGTCATTTTATTTTATTGAAAATATTTTTTTTTATATTTTTCGCTAGTTCGAGTTTAAAGAGGAATGGACGGCCCAAATTTGTTGTCAAAATAGTTTATAGAAAAAAATTTAAAAATAAAATAGTGTGAAGACGGGACATTGTGATTGGGGCAATCTTAGCCATCCATTTAGAATGGACAGTTGGATAAAGGAGAGGATAGAACTTCTATGTTGTAGGGGAAGCATAGAAAGCTTGCCCTAATGATAATAGTGTTTACTAGTTGTTATGTTTTTTTCATAACTATAGTGTTGTATACAATTATGACAATTATATATTTTAATTATTCAATTATCATAATATTAATTTGCTAATAATAATTAATTACAATAGTATAATGACACTTACATAATTATTGAAACTTTATAATATTTTATATTTATTTAAAAATTATAATTTTATTAGTGGAAATTATGATAATTAAGTTGTATTATCTACAAATTATAATTGCACAAATTTATTGATAATAAATTAAAATTTACAAATTTTATGTATTTTATATCAGTTAATAATATTTTTCCCGTTAATAATATTTGTCAATAATAACTAACATGGTGATAATTAATCATTTTGATTATATTAATTATAATTCATAACTATTATACTATTTATAACAAAGAAAGTATAATTATTATTAAAAATAACAAGAGTATAATTGTAATATTTTATTGAATATTATATTTATTACACAAATAATTACAATTATAGATTGTATTATTATAAATGCAACTATATATTGATAATAATATTATTATAAAAATATATTTCGCATTAATTTTTTTTATTTTTAAAGATACTTCTGCTCGACATTATAAATGTCATTAGTATATGTACATGAATAATATAATTAATTTGGTACAACGATATTAAATATAGTTTGATTATTTATGGATACAATAATTATATTATACTACTATAATTTTAATTAAATAATATTAATATATTTTTTAAATTTTTTCACAACAATATATTTTAATAGCATATGAATAATTCTATAATATAATTTTATTTTTAATCATAATAATATCCTTTCTATATTACTTAATTTGATATATTAAAATTTTATGTATTATTTAGTATAACATGTAAATAATTTATTCATTTCACTAAATTTATGTCGATTCAATCAAATCGTATTTCAATCATTATTGTTTGTTCATGAAAAATATTTCATCTTTTTTTCGCTATGAAGAGTATTTCACTTCTCTTTTATTTTCTCCATATATATGTGAGAAACTATTATTTTTATTTTATTTTGGAATTTATTTTAAATGTTATTTTATTTTATGTTTTCATTTTAGATTTTATAAATTTATTTTACTTAAGGAAATAAAAAAAAAGGTTTCGTAGGAAAAAAATTCAATTCCGTCTTCCTAAAGCTGAATAACTATGGTCAAAAGGGTCATTTTGCTCGAACAACTTAGATTGAGTGAAAATACTGGGTTACCCCTTACAGTTTCATATTAGGAGCACATATGTTGCACTTATAAAGGAAGACATTGTGTTCTGAGTTTCTAAAACTTAATAAACAACAATGATTATTTCCTTTATTGAAGTAAGGTAAAACTATTAAAATACCCCCTATTATTCAGATTTCTCAATACCGAACAAATGCAATTTAGGGATTATTTAAAGTTGATTTTGAGGAAGTATCTAAGCGATACTAAATTAAGAGCATACACTTAAATGAAAGTTGTACTCTATTAACCCTTTTGTGATCTTTTTTTTTATATTTTTTTTTTCTTTGTTTTGTAGTAGCTAGAATAAAGCGACCACGTATCTAAATTTTAGGATCTCGTGGAACCTGAATAGTTTGCCGCCTCATGTGAATACCACGAAATCGTCGTCATCATCATCGTCTTATCCCAATTAACATGTCATTCCCGCGGGCACATAAAATCTTTTTTTTATGAAACATGTACTGCCTTATCCTTGAGGGGCATGGGCCCTTGCCAAAACAATATTTGCATGTGAATTAAAGTACCACTAGTTTTGGAAAAGGCCAAAAACATGAACGTCAATGTACCTTGTCTGTCCATTCTTTTTGGTCAAGACCCAAGACCGCACGGCACCCTTCTTTCATGTTCAATATATATATATATATATATATTAAAAATTAAAACGTCATTATTTGATTTTTTTTTTAATATATTATTTATTCAAAAATAATTCTAATCCCAAATAGTTAGGATAAAACTCTGATGATGATAATTTATTTACAAATGGTGTCAAAACTATAAACTATGATCTTATTTTATTTTTGTTTCTAACGCATTATAGGGGATTTTTTGGATAATTGACTGGGATCCAAAAATTAATGGTTCTATTTATGTAATTAACCTCCATGATGTGTCTAAGTTTATAACTAATATGGTAGTAGGTAACCACGTCATTATCTTCTCAAAAAAATATTTGAAAAGTAACACTTTGAGTCCACTTTATTTAGTCCCAAATTTCAGGCAATTACTAAACTAGGAACTAGGTTTCCTTCAAGTGAGCCATACACCGATTGAAAACCATGTTATGGTATTTGTATGATTTTAAATTTTGCACACACGCTCTTTTCATCTCAATAATCAATTCCAAAAAAAAAAATTCAATTTGAACCTTAGATATGGTCAAAATGAGTCCTATCAAAAAATGAATCTAGACCATTCATTGTGTGTATTTCAAGATCTTAGCCTTTATAAACTCAAAATTATTTTTTTCCTTCTATAACATCATTCATCTGATGATAATAAAGTCACCCAAAAAAATTGAAAATGAAAAAAACCTCTTTAAGGCCTAGATTTAAGCATCTAATCAAAATAAACAACTTATATTAATTGGGCTAAAAAAATACTTTTTTAATTGTAATTTTAATTTTTTTTAATAATTATTCATTAAAATGAAAAAAAAATACATATTTCTTGGATAAAACAAAAAATCGAGTTGGTTTTTAAAATTATTACATCGCATTACTATACAATGGTCGGTGAAATCATTCCTCTTTACCAAATATTTGAAATGTAACATTCTGAATCCACTTTATTTAGTCGCAAATTTCAGTTAATGACGAAACCAGGAACTAGGTTTCCTTCAAGTGAACCATACACCCATTGAATAAGTATAAGGTACACCATAGCAGATCTACCGTCCGGTTTTCCACGATGGACGATGAAAATTAACTGTAACCACGTCAATATCAACAAATTTTGATCTCAGCCGTTATATCAAACATAAACACTTCCCCATACACCGTTCTTCTTGTGAGGATATTTTCAGGATTTTAAAATTTCTGGGGGTTAGGTTAGGGCGTGAAGGGAGAATATATTCATCCACGCGGAGAGCACACCAAGGTTATTGAATGGTGCTCACGCCATTCATGTTACGACCACGTGCCCGTCACAAGCTTTCGCTGATCATCGCCGTTAAATTCACTCTCCACCTATCAACTGGACACGTGTCTTTCATGCAATTACTCACGCCACGTGTCTCTCAATACGAGGTTATTTTCACGGCCGTATGCTTTGTTCAGGACAGAACAAAAATTACCCCTCGTCGTTATCGTTGAATACACCTTTTCCCAATTCTTTATCTTGAAAGACAAAAAGGTCCTTCCTTAGTTTTCAATAAGAGTCAGGTTCAAATTGTTGATTCGGATGGGAATCGATTGGAATCGAATCGATTTCAACTTTCGAGATGGTAAAGGTCATGGTTCAGTATTCTCCTAAAGCCTTTCTTTTTTTTTATAGTTTTTTGATTTTTTTGATTTTGTCTAATATTTTTTTAGATCCCTTAAAGCCCTTATCCAAGAGCTTTTACTTCTATTTTTATTTTATTTGATTTGTTTTTAATACTAATAAGGGAAAAAAATTTAAAAAAGACAAAAAAAAGTGGCCAAAAAGACATAGATAGAACAATAATAAGATATATATTAATTTATGATCTAATTGAAATTATGGCTATTGATAAAGCAAAATGGTGGCACATGATTTATACGGCATATTCTAAATAATTCAGATAAGACTCAGATGATGATAATGATTATATATTTCTACCGATTCAAGGCTTGGAACACTTGGCGCAGTAGCTTCTTTTTTAGGATGAGGTTATTATAAGATGGAGGCTTTATAAAAACAAAATAAAATATCACTTTAAATCTCATCCGGAAAGAACTTTCTCTATAATAACTCTAAAATCAATTTTCAACACCGAAAGTAAAAGTTCAAACTAAAAAGGTGCTGCAGATCTTGTGAACTTGTCAATACCTATTTTTAAAACAAAATAAATCGCTTTTTTTTAAGGTAAAACAAAATAAATAATCTAAATTGTTTGTTAAAATATATATAATTTGCAGAGATCAAAAGCCAAATTCTTTTCACTACCATGATATTTAAATGGAGATGATCGATGTAAAAATTTTCCACTGTTTGACTTGTAAGTTTAGAAGAGTGAGGATTTAGTTATTTGGAGTGTGGCGTTAGATATCAACGGGGCACATTGTTGATATTTAGGGAAACAGTGAGGGGCATTTGGTGGTTGTTGCGGGCATAAAGTATACACACCGATGTAGAACGTAACGCGACGGATGTACTGTTGTACGGTTTAAACGCTCTTGGAGTTGACCATGGTTGGGATTTTAACCAGAAAAATGAAAACGCGGGTTAAATATTAACCTTGGGTTTTGTCGCGGGACTCTCAGTCTCACGCGGAGAGCTTAAATTTCAACGTTGCGTTGCGGAAATCCATCGACTCGTTGGATGCCGGAGAAACGACTGGAATCTCGAACGTTGCCTCCTGGAAGAACTCTGAACGGTCCAGATTTCCTGACGCTTCAAATTTCCCGCCAGCATTCAATCCAACGGCTACGAGGAGTGCTTGTTCCCGGGAATTTCAGGCTCTCGGGGTTCATTTTCTTCTCCGTTTCCTCGGAGGTCAGGATTTGTTGGTTTCTAAACGGTCGGATTTTTTGTTGAGAATTCTCATTTTCTTCCCCACAGAGATTAAGAATTTGCCAGAGTTTTTGGGGATTTTTTTTTTAAAAAAAAAAATCCTGGAAATTTTTAAGTTAATAGTGAAAAACGAGTTGGGTTTTTGTGCGGAGAGTTTATGAATTTGTGGGTAATTAATTTATTTTATCGAGCTAATTTATTTTATTTAGCTTTTATGTATTTGATTTGTGAAGAAAGGCTAGTACTTTTTTATCAGGAGTTTCTTTAAGTCACAAAATCTTTTTCCTCTTTTTGATCTATTTTCTTTCTGCTCAGCTTTCTAAAAACTGTTTTCTGATATTCCTTTGCTTTTTTAAATCCTCTCCTCACTTTATTTCTTTTTTGGGGGGCTCATCCTGTTAATTTTGTTTTAAAATAGGCATAAATTATGGAGTCCTGTTCAGAAAATGATGAGAACACTTCCTGTTGTTTGGTTTTGTATCTAGATTTTATTTGACACGGGTGTTTTTAAAACTTCTGAGGTTTGTGTCTCTTTGGGTAGTTTTATAATTTATTAATTGTGTTTTTTACTTTTATATTCCTTTTTCCCTTCAAATTTTTTAGTTGCCATGAAAGCTGAAATGGTCTCAGCTAGGGTCTGGAGTGGTGAGGATAAAGCCACAATTGAGGCAATATTAGGCCCCAAAGCTGTTGAATTCTTAACCACTACCAAATTTTCTTTTGAAGGTCTTGTAATGGCCACAACAGCCGATTGCAACCTCCAAAACAAGCTATGTGATCTTGTTGAAGGCCACCATTTCTCCAAATTTAGCTGGAACTACGCCATTTTCTGGCAAATTTCGAGCTCAAAATCTGGTGAGTTGGTTCTTGGATGGGGAGATGGCTACTGCAAAGAACCCAAAGAAGAAGAGGTAGTTTCAGAGAATGGGTTGGATCTTTGTAATGAAAAAGAGACCCAACAAAAGATGAGGAAGAGGGTGCTGGAGCTTCTTCATTTGTTCTTTGGGGGATCAGATGAAGAAAACTATGAATTGGGTCTTGATAGGGTCTCTGATACTGAGATGTTTTATCTGGTTTCCATGTATTTTTCATTTCCTAATGGCTTTGGAATACCTGGTAGAGTTTTTAGAACCAGGAAACCTTTGTGGCTCTGCGATGGTCCTAACTCATTGGCCGATTACTGTTACAGGACTTTCATAGCAAGGTTAACTGGAATTCAAACATTGGTTTGTATTCCAGTTGCTAATGGTGTTCTTGAATTGGGTTCCATTGAATCAATACCTCAAGATCAAGAGGCTTTGCATAAGATTGTTTCAGTTTTTGCTCATAACGATGGCCAACCTAATTTGCGTTCCAATGCCTGGGCTTTCTCCTCCCCCACCCCACTTAAGAGTGAAAGACCACCGAGTCCCTTGATCGAGAAAAACCCGAAAATTTTCGGGCAGGATTTGAAACTGGTTCAGTCCCAAGTTGAGAGGCATTACTCTGTCTTTAACCCATCTCAAGAAAATATTGGCCTTTGTGATAATGGAGAGAGAATCTCAAGTATAGGAAACGCGAAGGCCTTGCAGGCTTTTAATTGGAACCGAATTCATGGCGGTAACATGGGTTGCACTAATGGTGGTGCAGAGAAAAACAGAGTGAACCAAATTCAACAGCAGAAGCAACATAAGCAAATTAGCTTTAATGGGGATCACTCTGACGCAGAGGCAACTTGTAGAGAGAGTAAATTGCCTCAGTCTAGTGAGAGAAAACCAAGAAAGAGAGGGAGAAAACCAGCTAATGGGAGAGAAGAACCCCTCAACCATGTTGAGGCAGAGAGACAGAGGAGAGAGAAACTTAACCAGAGGTTTTATGCATTGAGGGCAGTGGTTCCCAATATCTCCAAAATGGACAAAGCCTCTCTGTTGGGGGATGCCATAGCCTACATAAATGAGCTTCAAAATAAACTCAAAGACATCGAAACCGAGAACGAAAAGCAGGCGAGTTCCGATCTCATGGAAATGGCTTTGGAAACAGAGGATCAGAACAAAGGGGTATCTCAAATTGATATTGAGGTCCAGTCTTCATCTAATGAGGTTCTGGTGAAGATTGAGTGTGGCTTAAATGAGCATCCAGTTTCTAAGATCATTAATTTACTCAGAGAAGCACAAGTTACAGTTGAAGAACCAAAGATTTCTTTGAGTGGTGATACTGTTCTTCACACTTTTGTGATCAAATCTCTGGGGATTGAGAGGGTTACAAAGGACAAGTTGGTTTCTGCCCTTTCTAAGCTATCAAATGGTTTATAGTCTATAGCTTCTGATAATTGTTTAGCTACATTAAAGAGGCCCTAATTCCACTTAGAGAGAGAGAGAGAGAGAGAGAGAGATCTTCTTACTTCTCTTTAAAATACTCTTTTAGGACAAATTACTGTGTTAGTAGGTCCCCAAATTATGAGTGAGAGAGAGAGGGTTATGTTATCCATCTTCAATACTTGATATATAAACCTTGTATTCTTGTTAATTTTTTCTTTGCTTTTTGGATTGTGCAGTTGATCTTTTCTCTTTTTTGTCTTTTTGGTAATCATTAACCGGCATTGCGGTTTTGAACGATGGGGATCTTTTATTTTATTTTAGCTCCATTTGACCATCAAACTCAACTTTTTCTTGAGGAGTTAGAATCCATCAAAATTCGGAATGATGGGTGGTATAAAACAATTTGTTTATTCAGTTGATACTCAACTGAGGCATCGGTGGACTACGGTTTTGTAAAACTTGTTTGGGACTCGCCCGATTACTCAGTGTATGTAGGATATAAGATGCATATTTTGTAGAACATCTTAAATACAAAAAGGTTGTATAAGGTTGGGCTTAAACAATCAAATCAACTAAAAAAAAAATGTTAGAAAAGGCTGTTTTGATGTTCACATGCCGTCAAGTAGGTTATCTCGGCCTTGGGATGTATAAACGTGAAGAAAAATATATTTTCAAGTATGAGAAATAGTACACATATTTTCTTCCAACTATGGACTCTAAACAATTAAAATTTCAGGCACATAGTAGAGCATATTGAATAGTTTCGAGAGTTTTTTGGTCTAGTCTCTTCTACTCGTTGTCTGCCATACTTTTAGGATTATGTTATGCCTTTACAATGGGTGCGTATACGTCTTAACAGTATAGTAGATTTTTCATATTTGGGAAATGATCAAGTTATTTGTATTGAGCAATATTATTCTGTTCCCAATACTAGAATGCATATATTTACACATATTGTCCATCCCCTATGCGTTACAGTTAGCTATCGGCCGTATGTTACGGTTAGCTATCACTCATGCATTACGGTTAGTTATTGCTCGTGCGTTACTGAAAATTATCACCTGTATGTTACAATCAGCTATTGCCCGTGTGTTACAGTCAGTTATCGTTCGTGCATTGCAGTCAGCTATTGCCTGTGCATTGCAGTTAGCTATCGCACAACACTTGTGCATTGCAATCAGCTATTGCCTATGCGTTACAGTATCAACTATTTGTTAAGCTTTTGCATAAATTTTAACAAAATTTTGGCAGAGCTTCCACATGAGGGTTTGAATCCTAAATAATCCCCGAAGTCCAATTGATTGAAAGTCAAGTCGGGGCAGAGCCTGGAGTTGTGACAAAGATTAAAGGAGCAAGATTCGTCTTCTTCCTTACTTGTCCTATAACCGTTAAGTTCGCTATACCGAGAAAACGGCGATAAGGAGGACCAAGCGGAAAGGGAAACCTCGCTCTGATACTACTTGTTGGTCTCACCCAAAAAAGCCCTCTCGTACGGATGCATGTGCGCTATAGAAATATGGGAAACAAAATTATGCCAAAACCAGTGTGTGTGTATGAGTGGGAAAACAGGCAATTAAGCGAATAAATAAATAAATCTTTTCTGGTACCGGATTTACGTAGTTCACCTTTTCAGGCTATGTCCATAAGATAAAGGAGATCAAATCCACTAAAAACTCTCATGTTATAAT